GGAAAAGTAGGTACAAAACACGTTTTTTATTTAAATTCGATATTTCCTATCCAGTTCCTCCTAATTTCGTAGTAATAAAACGTTTCCTCCTAATTTCGTAGTAAACTTTTACTATGCGTTTACGAGGAAAGTCTTTACTACGGCTTTACGAGGAAAAGTACTTTTTCCTCGTAAGCTCCTCGTAAAATTACTAAGGTCTTACGAGGAAAACGTTTTCTCGTAATTTTTCGAGGATCTTACGCGGAAATTTGTTTTCCTCGTAAAGTCGAAGTAATGCCTTAGTAATTTTACGAGGAAGATTTTTCCTAGTAAAATTTCCTAGTAGAGGCTTAGTTTTCTTGTAGTGTGAAAAGGATGGAGGTGCGGCAAGGATTTTAGCGTCTTTTGTTCCTTTTAATAATATGATCTGAAACAGTGGGTTAATTGAGTTCTCGGCCTGAGGAAATACAATGTCATGGCAAGGACGTAAGGGAAAAGGGACATGAGCGGTGATGATACGATGCCGTCTTGATCGGGCATTAGCGAATGAAGAGTGGCATACATTGTTCCCATGTTCCCATACTGAATATCTGGGGATGGTTGGTTCAGATCATCGTCCAGTAGTTGCATATATGGAGGATAAAATTATTAAAAGGAAGGGCCAATTTAGGTTTGACAAGAGATGGATCGGACAGGAAGGTTTGATAGACTCCGTATTGTTGGGTTGGACGGAAACGCCTTCAAATCAGGAAGAGGGGTTGGTTGGAAAGATTAGTAATTGCAGGCATGAGATAGCAAGGTGGAGGAAAAATAATCCACCATATGGTAAGGAGAAGATTCAAGATCTCCAACGAGCCTTAGAGGAAGTCCAGATGGATAATAATAGGACACAGGAGGATATAATGGAAGTTTCTCGGAAATTACAGGATGCATACAAGGATGAGGAGGAGTATTGGCACCAAAAGAGCTGCTACATGTGGTACTCTTCGGGAGATCTTAATACTAACTTTTATCATGCACTCACAAAACAAAGACGAGTGAGAAATAGGATAGTAGGGCTTCATGATGCTGCTGGGAATTGGATAACCGAAGATGCTGGGATTGAACGGGTGGCAGTGGAATATTTTGAGAATTTATTCACATCTACTTCTCCATCTGAGTTTGCTAAATTCCTGGAGGAGGTTCCTTCATCTATCACACCTCAAGTGAATAATCGGTTGTTGCAGCTAGCCACATAGGAGGAAGTGCGACAAGTTTTATTTATGATGCATCCCGAGAAGGCACTAGGGCCTGATGGAATGACCGCACTTTTTTTCCAACACGCTTGGCATGTGATTAAAAAGGATTTGGTGGATATGGTGAATCGGTTTTTGGTTTCAGGAGTTTTGGAGGCTGAACTAAATGTTACTCATATTTGTACGATTCCAAAGACGGAGAGGTCCACGAGGATGACAGAGCTTAGACCCATAAGTCTTTGTAATGTTGGCTATAAGATTATCTCTAAAGTATTATGTCAGAGGTTGAAATGCTGTTTGCCGGAGCTAGTATCAGAAACCCAGTCGGCTTTTGTCCCAGGGAGACTGATATCGGATAATATTTTAATTGCTCAAAAGATGTTTCATGGTTTAAGAGCTAACAAATCATGTCAAGGTAAGTTTATGGCAATAAAAACCGACATGAGTAAAGCGTATGATCGCGTGGAGTGGAATTTTATCCAAGCTCTGCTACAAAAGATGGGTTTTGATCCTCATTGGATAAGTCTCATGATGGAATGTGTATCTTCGGTTCAGTATCGGGTATTGATAAATGGACAGCCTAAGGGCTCCATTATACCACAGAGGGGATTACGACAAGGAGACCCTTTGTCTCCTTATTTGTTTATTTTGTGTACAGAAGATTTAATCTCCAATATTAAAAAGGCGGAGCGGCAAAAACGACTAATAGGGATGAAGGTTGCTCGAGCGTGCCCAGCAATTTCCCATCTTTTCTTTGCGGATGACAGTCTTTTCTTTTGTATAGCGCAACCGGAGGAGTGCCAAACTATTCTTACAATACTTAAAGAGTATGAGGTGGTTTCAGGTCAATTGATTAACTTTCAGAAGTCTTCTATTCAATTTGGCCATAGGATTGGGGAAGGCAACAGACAAGTACTAAGGGATATACTAGGAATTCAGAATTTAGGAGGTATGGGAACCTACCTGGGTCTACCTGAGAGTCTGAATGGCTCCAAGGTACAAGTGTTTGGTTTTGTTCAGGAACGATTGAACAAACGAGTTAATGGTTGGACTTTTCGTTTTTTTACAAAGGGTGGGAAGGAGGTTATCATTAAATCAGTAGTAACGGCATTACCGAATCACGTGATGTCCTGTTATAGACTGCCTAAGACTACTACGAAGAAACTAACCAGCGCAGTAGCGCGGTTTTGGTGGAGTCCTGGGGGAAGCACAAAAGGAATGCATTGGAAATCATGGGATAAACTATGCATAGATAAGGATGATGGAGGTTTGGGATTTAAGGATCTGGAGGATTTTAATACGGCAATGCTTGGCAAACAACTATGGCGTCTTATTGAGAAACCGAATACCTTGTTTTCTCGTGTTTTCAAAGGTCGGTACTTTAGGAATGCATCACCCCTAGACCCGATCCGATCATACTCTCCGTCATATGGCTGGAGAAGCATGATCTCAGCTAGATCTCTGGTTTGTAAAGGACTTATCAAACGGGTGGGATCTGGATCATCAATATCAGTATGGAATGATCCATGGCTCCCAACCACTCGCCCGAGACCAGCTAACGCAAATCAACAGTTTTTTCCTTTGGATCTCACAGTGGATGTTTTTATTAATGCGGACTCACGGACTTGGAATATGGACGTTATTCGTAATTTTGTGGAACCTCAGGATGCGAAAATAATAGCGAGTATTCCACTCAGTAGAATACATTTGGAAGATAGGGATGGATGGCATTTCACGAGGACCGGGAAATACACAGTACAGTCAGGATATCAAGTTGAGAGAGTGTACCCGGATAAGGGCAGGTCGACAGAGATTCAGGGGCCGACGGTGGACGCGTTAAAAGCCTTTTGCTGGAAAGTACGGTGTACTCCTAAGATAAAGCATTTCCTATGGCAGTTTCTCTCGGGATGTATTGCGGTGAGGAAAAATCTTACGCAAGAGGGATAAAGGGTGATATTTGTTGTAATAGATGTGGTGCTGCCGAGGAAACGGTTAATCATGTTTTTTTCGAATGCCCACCAGCTCGTCAAATTTGGGGCCTATCAAAAATTCCTTTGAATCCTCTTACTTTCCCCCACAGAGGGTTTCTTCACGAATATGGATTATTTGTTTTGGAGGGTTTTCCCGAAGATGGCTGATCATCACTTCGCATGGATATTATGGTACATTTGGAAAGCGTGGAATGATAAGATTTTTAGTAACTTGGATGTCGATCCAAAAAAGACTCTCACGTTAGCAGAGACGGAAGCTACCCTCTGGGAAGAGGCTCAGATTAAAGTTCCCCAGCGCGAGCCATTCTTACGCGAGGTTGCAGCACTGCCGGCCATTACTGGACGTTGGTGTTTCGTTGATGGTTCATGGAAAGACAAAGATGTTTGATGGACAGGGATGGTATAGCACTCTGGAGGGTTTTGAGGGTCTAATGGGCGCAAGGAAGGTCAGGGCCAGTCTCTCACCTCTTCACTCTGAGATGGAGGCCCTTATTTGGGCGATGGAAAGCATGAGAAATTTGTGTCAAGATTCAGTTACTTTTGCAACAGATTGTTCCCAATTGGTGAAGATGATTTCGGAACCAGAGGAATGGCCAGCTTTCGCAACGTATCTGGAGGATATCAAGACGCTTAAAGGGAGTTTACACAGCTCGGCAATCATCTACGTATCCAGGACACATAATAAAATGGCAGATAGACTGGCACGAAATGCGAGGAAGCAATCGTCTTTTGTTGTTCACATGGATACAGAGCCACCGGCTTGGTTCACCGCGGCTACATAAGTTTTTGTTCCTTATTGATGTCAAAAAAATAAAAATAAAATAAAAAATTTACAGTCTTTTTTTTTATGTTTAAGCACAAAAACAATTCTACAAAGTTGATAAAACATTTCCATCAAAACTCATTTGATATAATTGCTATGCTTTGTGTGTGACTCTTTGGTTTAGGATATTGATTACCAATATCACACATACTGTTCAAAATGATTACAATTTGTATTCATGATTAAAGAAACATATATGAGGTATGTCATGGATACAGGAAAAGCAGCATGGGGACATTCAAACAATCAGAATAATGGTTAGATGCAATTTTTAAAACTAAACAACTATACTTACGAACAACTCTATATAACAAAATCATCCAATAACATATCCATACAAATTAATCAAACTCATTTACATTAACCAAACTCATTAATTTACTAAAAAATCATTTTAAAACTAAACAACTATACTTACGAACAACTCTATATAACAAAATCATCCAATAACATATCCATACAAATTAATCAAGCTCATTTACATTAACCAAACTCATTAATTTACTAAAAAAATCATTTTACACACAAAAAAAAAAAAAGATAACATTCCGAATGAAATGCAGATTAGCCATTAGTTATATATAAAAAAAAATAAAAATTTTCCTCCAAAACATGACATGCAATGGAATGACATTAGTGTTCTAAAAATCGTTGTTAACGGTGTTTTGGTGTTTTGGTGTAGGTCTCTATTCACCAAATCGAAATCAAACGAAATGATTTTTCTAAACTAATTTTCGAAGAAATCGGTCTAAATGTTAAAAAGTTGGTTTAGATGGCCGATTGAGTCTAATTTGGTCTTTCATAAAATAGCAGGCTGTATATTCTAAGATGGGCCCTTGCCTTCAAAAAGCCCACTAAAATTTCACGAAACCCTAATTATAAACTCCTTTTTAAACCCTTTCACTTCCTTCATCTTCCTCCATCACTCAAAAATCCTATTTTCCGACAAGAACCCTAAATCCCACCGCCGCCATGACAGAAATCGAAGAAGTCCCAGCCGACAACGGAGACTACATGATCAAACCCCAAAGCTTCACACCCGCCATCGACACCTCCCAATGGCCCCTCCTCCTCAAAAACTACGACCGCCTCAACGTCCGTACCGGTCACTACACACCCATCTCCTCCGGCCACTCACCCCTCAAGCGTCCTCTTTTGGACTACATCCGTTACGGTGTCATCAACCTCGACAAACCCTCGAACCCTTCTTCTCACGAGGTCGTTGCTTGGATCAAACGCATCCTCCGCGTCGAGAAGACAGGACACAGTGGAACTCTTGACCCTAAAGTCACGGGAAATCTCATTGTCTGTATCGACAGAGCCACGAGGCTTGTCAAGTCCCAGCAAGGTGCGGGTAAAGAGTATGTCTGTGTTGCTCGTCTTCACTCTGCTGTCCCTGACGTGGCGAAAGTGGCCAGGGCGCTTGAGTCTCTTACCGGAGCTGTCTTTCAGAGACCTCCTTTGATCTCTGCTGTGAAGAGACAGCTCAGGATTAGGACGATTTATCAGAGTAAGTTGCTTGAGTATGATGCGGATAGGCATTTGGTTGTGTTTTGGGTTTCTTGTGAGGCGGGGACTTATATTAGGACTATGTGTGTTCATTTGGGTTTGCTTCTTGGTGTTGGTGGGCATATGCAAGAGCTTAGGAGGGTTAGGTCTGGGATCTTGGGTGAGAATGATAACATGGTTACTATGCATGATGTTATGGATGCCCAGTGGATGTATGATAATTACAAGGATGAGAGTTATCTCAGGAGGGTGATTATGCCTCTTGAGGTGATTCTCACGAGTTACAAGAGGCTTGTGGTGAAGGACTCTGCTGTTAATGCGATCTGTTATGGTGCTAAGTTGATGATTCCGGGGCTGCTGAGGTTCGAGAATGATATTGATGTTGGCACTGAGGTTGTTTTGATGACGACTAAAGGTGAGGCGATTGCTGTGGGGATTGCTGAGATGACTACGTCTGTGATGGCTACTTGTGATCATGGTGTGGTGGCTAAGATCAAGAGGGTTGTGATGGATAGGGATACTTATCCGAGGAAGTGGGGTTTGGGGCCTAGGGCTTCGATGAAGAAGAAGTTGATTGCTGATGGGAAGTTGGATAAGCATGGGAAGCCTAATGAGAAGACGCCTGTTGAGTGGAGTAGGAACGTGGTTTTGCCGACTGGTGGTGATGCTATGATTGCTGGTGCTGCTGCTGCTCCTGAGAAGGTTGATGTTGTTGCAGCTATTGAGGCAAAGGCTGAGAATGGAGAAGTGAGCAAGCGGAAGCATAAGCGTGATGATAGCGGTGACAGCCCTGCTCCTGTGTCGACCAAGAAGGCTAAGACCAAAGATGTTGAAGGAGGTGAGGTTGAAGAGAAGGTGAAGTCTTCCAAGAAGAAGAAGGACAAGGCAGATGGGAAAGAAGAAGAGGAAGCCAAGTCTGAGAAGAAGGAGAAGAAGAAAAAGAAGGACAAGGAGGAGGATAAAGAAGAGGTGGCAACACCAAAGTCAGAGAAGAAGAAAAAGAAGAGCAAGGAGTCTGATGAAGCTGCTGCTGCTGATGCTGAAGAATCAGCAGCAAAGAAGAGTGAGAAGAAGAAAAAAAAGAGCAAGGAGACTGATGAAGCTGCTTCAGCAGAGAAGAGTGAGAAGAAGAAAAAGAAGGAGAAGAAGAAGAAAAGCAAAGACAGCGAAGATGAGGAATAGGTAGATGAGTTTGTGTAATGGTATCTATTCTGGGTAAAAGTGAGACAAAAGGCATTTATGCTTGTATCCAACGTCTCACTTCAGATTAGTTTTTGTTTCTTAGTTTTTATGTTGTGTTTTTCCTTTTATTTGTAAGGTTTGTTTCGCCTAGTTATGGACTTTATTATGATGATGGTTTTGGTTTTTATGTTCGTCAAAATTCTACTCTGAAATTTCTCGAGTGATGATAAATCTAGTCAATTTCAGGTGGTGCCTACTCTTACGAGTTGAAGAGTTTGTTTATATATCGTTGGTAGGTATAGAACAATAACAACAAGAGACTTAAATGAAGGTAGTTGCAGCAGCAACTGATAATTTTCATCAGATTGGTGGTGCTAAAGGTGGTTGTGATTGTTCGCTTGCACTGGTTGCTAAGCTTCTCTTGTTTAATAGTTGGTTTTGATGTATAGGTAAATAACGGTTCAAGAACTTAGAGCCACAATGAGGCAAGTTTCTGCACCTTTTTTGGTTTTTCTCTTTGGTTGCTGCTTTGTTATTGTTTCTGTGGAGGATACTTGTTAGTTGTTTGAACATGTGGAATGGTTGTGTAAGTAATCCCGTTACAAATGAAGTTTTCAATTATAGGACTCAAACAAGAAGTCATCTCAACTTTACTACTTCATATGGACAGAACAATTTACCAGGTATGCGACTGCACACCAAGAACACAGACTATCTCATGTACTGAATGGGAAAAAGGAGTGTGGACTTGTGCATTTAGTAGCTATTAATCGATTGAGAGCTATTGTTGTTTTGTGTTATGTCTGTTTGGCAATGAGGATACGACTCTGTCTGATTGGTTACGGGTTTAAAGTCCTAATTGGTCTTATATATAGAGTTTTTCTTGGATTCACCCCCTGGGGTGAACCTATAGGTTCACCAACCTATTATAATTCGCCACGTCATATGCAGTTTCTGAAAAAAAAAGGAAAAAAAATCATTAGTTTACGCTAGAAAAAAAGAAACAGAAAATAAAAAATCATTAGTTAACGTAACGGCGTCAAGAGATTGTAGCGATATTTCTTCTGTCGTCGGCTTCTGGAGATTTAAACCTATTCTTCTATCGTCGTTGTTATTCTGATTCATCCCTGAAATTGTAAGTTTAGGGTTCTTAGATATTTTTCATCACATCAATTCTCAAAAACTAATGAATTCTACAAAGATTTTTATGCTTTTGTTTTGGTATGTAGGTTGAAACATTCACCCAATTTGGTGTCGTATTTCTATGCTTCTTGTTGAGTCTAGAATTCTCCACTGCTAAGGTGAGATTAACGTCTTTTTGTTTACTTGAAAGTATTTTTTTTTTATGTAATGTTTACTTGAAAGTTTACCATATCCAAACTCTTTAAAAACCTTTTTGTCAGCTTAGATCAGTTGCTGTTCTGGAGACCTTCAAATTCTTCTTTTGATCTCCTTGTGTGTAATCACAGTGTCGGTGAGTCCTGTACACGTGAACCGTAAGAGAATCTTTGCTGTTCTTATTTATTAGTCAATAATCACCACTTAGTGGCTTGTATTAGACGTGTATATACCACCATGTACCTTCTATTTGGCTTGCATATTTTTCATGTCTTTTTAGTACTATCGTGAGTTGATTATAAAATATTATATTGTTTTGATGCTGTGTGTCCTACTAGGTTACGTTGTTGTGTGTCCTAGGTTACGTCTGTTCTTTAATTGAAAACATAATAAATATAGTAAACATTTAAGTTATGTATGCTCTATAATGTAAATATAGTAATATTAAATATTGTTAGTGCAGATTGCAATGGAGAATATTCAATTAAGTGATCAAGAAGCTGTTGTTGATGGTCAGTGTGGATCTAGTTTACAAGTTTCGGCTGATTTAAGTTTAATAAATAAAAAGTCGGTTGAGTCTTTTTGCGAGGAAGACGACGCTTTACTTAGTGAAGACGATGCTTCAGTTAGTGAATTTGAGGAAGAATATGAATTAGCCAACATAGAGGATCAACTTGAGACTGAGGATATTGATGCTTTGGAAACAAACAATGAGAATGAGCAGAAAGATGACATTACCTAGTGGATCTAGTGGATCATTTTTCTCGCAATTACGTCAGGTAAATATTTTACTTGTTATTTTTACTTGAGTTACATTATTTTAAAAAAATATTATCTTTTTATTCTGCAGGAAGTGGTGAAGAATTATGGCGATGGTTCATCGAAGGACTTCGACAAAAATTATGGTGATAGTTGAAAGGATTGCATGTTTTTTAGTTTTTTTTTTGAATAAAAGATGATTTGGACAACCAAAACATTGAATCTCTATTTCTGTATTCTGGTATACTTTTTTGAGAAGAAGGTTGAGACTGAATTATTTATCGTTGATGTTGCACAACACCTAACTAGCCCGTGTGCCGTTTATTTCATTGAAAACACAATCAATTAAGGGTAGAAAGATTTATTAAAGAATTTTAAAGTCATGTAAAACATATTCTCACCAAATGATTACAAGAGCAAAAGATGCAGAAATTTCCATCGTGAAAAAGTACACTCTCACATATACAAACACATAAGTTCATCGACTGGTTTCATCCAATGAGAAGTCCGGATTGCACATTGCAGTCGCAAGGATCTACACTTAACTGGCGTATTGCACAGGGACTTGTTCAGGTGAGATGTATCTTAGTCCACATTTTTCAAATATGTGTCAGATGATCTTATTAGACAAAACAAACCAATCCACACAAGCATCTTCGAAAACTTACAAGAACTCTAAATCAATTACTGAACGATTAAAATGGCAAGCTGAGACTATTAAAAGCAACAAACCAGAGAAAGAGATAAGGAAAAATACATCGAAATCGTTACCGACGGAGTTGAACTCTTTGTTTGCCTTTTGTCCTAAACCATAAGAGCCCACCTTGTTCATTATCTGATCCATCTCTTCTGCGTGTAACAACTTGATAATCTGCCTAAAGAGACAGAGAAGATGATGGCTCTCTTTGACATTCTTCTACTTGGCTCCTGCGTTTGAAGAGAGATCTCTATTTTTTGCATCACAACAGTGTAAATCACTCAGAAGCTGTATACAATGTTTTCTATTTTTCGACAACATATTTTGTATAACTTGAAGACTTGATCAAAGTCACTCAGTTTAAGAGTCACCATGTTCCCGACATCTAGCTCTCCCTTTGCATTTGTATGAATCATAAGACTGAAACATATATAGAAACAAAACTCACTTAGTTAACAGAGTCCAAAACCAATCCTCCAGTAAAGATTCATGTTATTATTACTTTGGAGGTATTTTCCCAATGGGTTGAGTTCCTTGAGAGACAAGCAAATTTCTGAGATTCCACATGTAAATCTGAAGCATGAGAAATTTGATTACAAACGTATGATTGCTGCTCTCCACTTGTTTGAACAATCCCTAGAATGTTCTACGAACGATACCTTATGATTCCGGAAGACCCTCTTGCAAAGTTATATATCAACTTAAAGAAATTCTAGAAGAAAAAGCCATGAAAAGGAGAAGAAAATCCATGGATGAATCAGAAGAAACAACTTTAACAACTACGACAGAAGAAATAGGGTTACGATCTCTTGACGCCGTTACGTTAACTAATGATTTTTTATTTTCTGTTTCTTTTTTTCTAGCGTAAACTAATGATTTTTTTTCCTTTTTTTTCCAGAAACTGCATATGACGTGGCGAATTATAATAGGTTGGTGAACCTATAGGTTCACCCCAGGGGGTGAACCCAAGAAAAACTCTTATATATAATTGGACCGCTTGCTAAAAGTCTCCCCGTTATTGCCGCTGCATACAAGAGATAATACTGAAGTTATCTACTACGAGCCAAAAGATGTTTGAATCCGTCGAGCGTTTCAAAAACATAGACTATTTGTGCAGAAGAGAACAATTATTTCTTCTCTTTTACATTTGTCGTGTTTGTAAATATGGATTCCTAAATATAGAAAGTCCAAAAGATTAGCGTGCGTCTTACGTCTCCATTTTTGTCTCTTACCAAAATGAAATCTGAGAAAGTCAATTTCCTCTGTTCTTCCCTTTTTACCATACATCCAAATGCATCTCTCAACACTTTCTACCATGTCTTGTTGTTTTGATTCATCTCGTTGATTCTGGTTCTCGTCTTTGTGTTCAGACACAATGGATATAAGCAACGAAGCAAACGTGGATCCGTTCAATATAGGACCCACGACTGTCCTCGGAAGAACAATAGCCTTTCGGATCCTGTTCTGCAAATCAACGTCTATTTTCAGAAACAGACTGTTCAGGTTCCTCGTGTGTTTCCTCGGAAGAGCTAAAACTTTTCTAACACCGTTTTTCTCCTGGTTACATCCAAGAAACCCACAAGGCATATTAGCTATGGTGACAACGATGGCCTTTATGTTGAATCGTTACACGAGCTTAAAAGCAAAAGCTGAGATGGCTTACAGGAGAAAATTCTGGAGGAACATGATGACAGCTGCATTGACTCACGAGGAATGGGCTCACGCAGCCAAGATGCTTGATAAAGAGACTCCAAAGATGAACGTGAGCGATCTCTTCGATGTGGAGCTTGTGAGGAATAAGCTTGAGGAGCTTAAGCATAGACGTCATGAGGACTCTCTAAGAGACATTATCTTCTGTATGAGAGCTGATCTTGTGAGGAATCTCGGTAACATGTGTAACCCTGAGCTTCACAAAGGGAGGCTTCAAGTTCCGAGACTCATCAAAGAGTATATAGATGAGGTCTCTACACAGCTTAGGATGGTTTGTGATACGGACACTGAAGAGCTTTCTCTAGAGGAGAAACTATCTTTTATGCATGAGACGAGACATGCCTTTGGGAGAACGGCTCTGCTTTTAAGTGGAGGAGCTTCTCTTGGTGCTTTCCATCTCGGTGTGGTTAAGACCCTTGTAGAACACAAGCTGTTGCCGAGGATTATAGCTGGTTCAAGTGTGGGTTCTGTAATGTGTGCGGTCGTGGCGACAAGGTCATGGCCTGAGTTGCAAGGCTTCTTTGAAGGATCTTGGCACGCGTTGCAGTTCTTTGATCAGATGGGAGGGGTCTTCACCATTGTGAAAAGGGTTATGACTCAAGGAGCGGTTCATGAGATCAGACATTTGCAATGGAAGCTGAGGAATCTCACCAACAATCTCACGTTCCAAGAGGCTTACGACATGACAGGACGGATTCTTGGGATAACAGTTTGTTCCCCGAGGAAGCACGAGCCGCCAAGATGTCTTAACTATTTGACTTCCCCTCATGTCGTGATATGGAGTGCAGTGACTGCTTCTTGTGCCTTCCCAGGTCTTTTTGAGGCTCAAGAACTCATGGCTAAAGACAGAACTGGTGAGATTGTTCCTTATCACCCGCTTTTTAACTTGGATCCTGTAGAGGGCTCATCAGGAGCATCGGTTAGGCGATGGAGGGACGGAAGTTTGGAGATGGACTTACCGATGATACAACTCAAAGAGCTTTTTAATGTTAACCATTTCATTGTGAGTCAGGCTAACCCTCACATTGCACCTTTCTTGAGGATGAAGGAGTTTGTGAGAGCTTGTGGAGGGAGATTTGCAGCAAAGGTATGGTTTCACATTCATTTGTTACACAAATAATAGTCAAAGTTTTGATTCATTCTCATAAGTCAATCTCATAAGTGAATCTCTTGTTATATCAAAGCTCGCTCAACTTGTGGAGATGGAAGTGAAGCATAGGTGTAATCAAGTATTGGAGCTTGGGTTGCCTCTGAGAGAAGTAGCAAAGCTATTTGCTCAAGAATGGGAAGGGGATGTCACTATCGTCATGCCCGCCACTATTTCTCAGGTAAGCAAAACTCAATTCTCTGTAGTCCAGTTCTTGTGGGTAGGCTAAAAAACTTCCAAAATAACAGAACCGGAAAACCAAACCAACCCAAAGAAATAATTTAAACCAAACTAAACCAACATAGATATACCAATGGATTTTGTTTTACAATATTTTCAGGTTTTAACATTGATGTATAATGATATTACAATTATGACAAATATTACATATACATTTTACAATTGACAATATTCTGGGTTTTAGATTTTACCTGACAAATACTTGAATTTCGTTGAAAAAATCAGCTAAAAAAGGTTATCAAATCCGAGAATAATTCAAATAAATAACTCAGATACAATTTTCAGATTTTAGAAATATTAAATTTAAAATACTTTTATATACCATAAAAGAGTACCTGAATCCAAACCAAATCTGTAAAGATATAAACCTAAATTGAGTTGAATCAGATCTCTTATGTATAAACACTTGAATGGAGCTTAACATGTGCTTTAAAAACATGAAACCGGAATTAACCAGAACCGAATTCAAATTAATACCGAAACAGCTATGTTTGCATTCAGTACTTGAAGATCATACACTGTATTTTTAGATAATGTTGAATTTTAAAATACTTTTAGATAACACGGCTATTTGAATCCAAGCCAAACCCCAAAATAATTCGAACGTAACCTAATTTCTATGTGTAAATAGCTAAATGGTATTAAACATTTGTCCCCAAAATCCGAAACACGCATAAACTCTAACCTGAATGGATCCCCAAACGATTTTGTTTTTTTCTTCTATTGAGCTTCAAGATCTAGAACAAATCATTTCCTATTTTCTTGCTCCATGCATGTATTCAGTACCTGAAGATCATACAAAACCCATCCAACGTAGAGATCCAAAAAGCAACAAACCAAGGAAGAAGATGCACCTGGGAGAAGCTCGCCGTCATCAAAGCCAACTTCGGCATCGAACTCGCCCTCGACGAATGCGTCGCCGTCCTCAACCACATGCGCCGCCTCAAACGCACCGCTCGAAGAGCAGCCGCCGCCGCCACCATCTCTTCCTCCTCCTCCTCCTCCTTCTCCTCCTCACATCCCTTACCCGCCGGTCCCACCAGGTTCAGCGCCTCCAGAAGAATCCCTTCCTGGAACTGCATCGCCCGCGAGAACTCCGCAGGGTCCGTCGACGACGACGTCCTCGCCGAAGCCGCGTCGCTGTACCAGCAGCTCGTGGCCCACCGAGGCGGTAACTGTGGCAGCTCACACGACGGAGATTCGCCGGAAGCCGGGGACTGGACTAGGTCTGGTGGACCGTTGATGAGGACGACGTCTGCTCAGATGTTTGCGGATTATGTTCAGAATCTCGAGGGGGCTGATCAGGGGGTTGATATGAGCGTGGATGCTTCGTCGAGGAGGAGTATCACCGTGACGGAAGGAGATTATCTGCAGACGGGGAGGACGCATAATGGGTTTGTGTTGAATCTTGTTAGGGGAGAGAGTTTGAGGAGTCGTCAAAGTGTGGAGGAGAGGGAGAACGTTGATGAAGCTCCGGAGAGCGTGCAGCTTGATTCTCCGGAGAAGGATATTGGTAGAGATAGCTCGGCCTCGGAAGACGGAGACGCGGAGGTGGAGACGGATCTAAGGCACGAGTAATGTGACTGATGAGTCAAAAGTCAAAGAGAGTTTCCTCTTTGGGAAAGGACTATGTTGTAAATATTACGAGGTATTTTCAAATTTTGTAGTATAGTCCTTCATATTTGTAAAAATATCAGTTTGGTGATGGAACTTTTGGGTTTAACATGTTGCACATGTTAAATTGTAGTGAGGTTAACACAAGACATGGTTTAGTTACGATAAAAATGTATCAAGTTAACACAAAACAGTTCCTATGAATTGTATATATTTGTACTCAAATGTATATTAATTAAGTTGAAAATAATTTTTGATGATTGAAATAATTAAATATATTACCTCATCTCTTTTTTTTTCCATAAGAATATATGTTTGTGTTCATTACACGTGACCATTTTGATAATGAATGTATTATTTTTTTTTATTTACCGATTTTCAGTAACTTTAAACTAATAATATTTCAACAAGTACAATTCTTTTATGTTACAAAAAATGTATAATTTATTATTGTTATTATTAATTCCCTTAATAAAATGCATAATAACGTGAAACATGAAAAATGTATTATTGAAAAGTAAAGTGGTAGCGGAAGAGTTGAAATATATATGGTACTCATCTGAAGATCTGAATATCAAATTTTATCACACGTTAACAAAGCAACGATAGATCTGTAGTAGAATTGTAGAGTTGCATGATGAAAATGAAAATTGGATAACAAAAAAAGGGCGTTGAAAAGGTGGTAGTGAACTATTTCAAAATTTATTTGGTACCTATTTCCATCAGAGTTGGATAGCTTCTTGGTTAAGGTAACACCGTCTATTATTTCTCTAATGAATTAAATGCTGCTGAGGGTAGCGACAAAGAGGAGGTACGTAAGACGTTGTTTATGATGTATCCAGAAAAGGTTTCACGACTGGACGAAATGACAATTCTTTTTTTTTTAACATTCTTGACATCTCATTAAAAAAGATGTGGTTGAGGTGAATGATTTTATGGTGTCAGGAGATATAGATTCAAGGTTAAACATTACCAACATTTGTTTGACTCCAAAGACGTAAAGATCTACAAGGATGAAAGAATTCAAGCCAATAAATTTATGTAATATAGGATACAAGATTATTTCAAAAGTATTATGCCAGAGACTGAAAATCTGTCTCTTTATACTCATTTCGAACAAATAAATTCTGCTAAGATAAGTTTATGAGAATCAAAATATACATGAGTAAGGCGTATGATAGGATGGAATGAGATTTTATTCAGGCTCTCTTACACAAAATGGGTTTCGATCCCCATTGGATCAAACTTATGATGGAGTGCATCTCATCAGTTAAATATCGAGTAGTATTAAATGACTAACCACAAGGACTTATAACCCCAAATAGAGGTCTACGTCAAGGGGATTCATTATCTCCTTTTTATTCATAATGTGCACTGAAGTTTTAATTGCTAAGATTAGAAAGGTTGAGCGAGAGAAACAATTAATGGGAATGAAAGTAGCCAGAGCTTGTCCATCGATATTTCATATGCTTTTTGCAGATGATAGTATTTTCTTTTGTAAGGTACAAAGAGAAGAATGTTAAACCATTCTCAAAATACTAAAAGAATATGAGGTTGTTTTGGTCAACAAATAAATTTTCAAAAGTGCTTAGTTCAATTTGAACATAAGATTGTGGAAACCAGCCGTCAGGAATTAAAACATATCTTGGGAATACATAAATTAGGAGGAATATGATCTTCTCTATGATTGCCCGAAAGTATTGGAGGATCTAAGATTCAAGTTTTTGGTTTCGTCCAAGACAGATTAAATAATAGGATCAATGGCTGGACTTTTAAGTTTTTTTACTAAAAGAGAAAAAAAATGGACATTAAATCAGTAATTACAGTCTTACCAAATCATGTGATGTCTTGTTATCGGTTACCAAATACAACTATAAAGAAACTGACGAGTGCAGTGGCACAATTCTAGTGGAGTCCAGGAGGCATCACAAAAGGAATGCACTGAAAATCATGGGACAAGCTATATATAGCTAAAGATGAAGGAGGTTTAGGTTTTAAAGATCTCAATGACTTCAATACGGCTATGCTGGGTAAGCAATTATGACGTTTGATTGAGAAGCCAAATACTTTATTCTCTTGAGTTTTCAAAGGAAGATACTTCAAAAATACTTCACCTCTAGAACCGATCCGATCATACTCTCCATCATATGACTGGAGAAGTATGGTTTCTACTAGATCTCTGGTTAACAAATGACTAATTTAAAGGGTGGGATCATGATCATCTATATCTGTATGGAAAGATCCATGTCTTCTAACCACTCACCCGAGACCAGCAAATAAAAATCAACACAACATCTATCTGGACCTTACAGTGGATTATCTCATCAATTCTGATTTGGAAGTTGGAACTCGCAGACAATTCGGACTTTGGTGGATCTCCAGGATGTACAAATCATAGAAAGTATACCACTGACCAGGACTCGGCTGGTGGACAGGGATGGATGGCACTTCACTAATCCTATGTAGATGTTATTGAATTACCATCAATTCCAGGCGATGGTGCTTTACAGATGGATCATGGAAAGATAAGGAATGTTTTTTAGGACAAGGGTTGTACAGTACTCTAGAAGTTTTACTGGACTGATTGGGGCAAGAAACATCAGGGCTAGTCTTTACCTCTTTACTCGGACGTGAAGCGCTAATATGAGAAATGGAATGTATGAGGAACTTGCGTCAGTTTCAGGTTACATTTGCAATGGTTTGTTCTCAATCTGTGAAGATGGTTTCAGAACCAGAAGAATGACCAGCTTTTATGAGTTACTTGGAAGATATTAAGATTCTAAAGGAAAGTTTCCCCAACTCAGAGATCATTCATGTACCACGAACGCATAATTCATAGACAGATAGTCTAGCACGCAGTGTCAGGAAACAACCGTTATATTAATGACAAAAAAAAAAAATTCTTTTAAAAATTATCTTTCTGAATCAGAGAAGTATTATTATTTGTTGTTTACTAATTCTTTCTGCGATGCAGATATTCTGATCTAATGTATATAAATATATATGGATTAGTAAACCACATGGACGCAAAATTACCGTTCTTCGTTGTCAACATGGACGCAAAATTACCAGTTGGGTACTTGGGTTTGCAGATTCTGTTTATATTAATAACAAAAAAAGTTAAAAAAAAATAATTTTAAAAAAATTATCTTTCTGAATCAGAGAAGAATTATTATTTGTTGTTTACTAATTCCTTCTGTGATGCAGATATTCTAATCTAATGTATATAAATATATATAGCGAAAAGTAATTTGTGTTTTGTTTTTGTTTTTTATATAAAGTTTTACTGATTCCAGAAATAAATAAAACTGTTGTTTTGTGCATTAACGGTATTATTTATGTTTAGAATTCCTTCACAGGCACGAGACTTCGACTCACCCAATTAAAGAAGGAAATCTATACTATTATTTACGAAGTGATTTATCGCAACGGAGCTCTCACGTTGAAAGTTAGAGAGGTTAATATCGTTTATACCCTTAATGAATAAAATATATAAATTAGACATAAAATAAAAACGAAATTGATATTTATTTGATTAGATAAATAATTTAAATTAATAATAATGATAAGAATTATCCATAATCTAAATATATATTTAAAAAAAAAAAATTCCAATATATATTGTATTGTTATCCGGAAAACATATTTTAAGAAAAAATCAAAAAAAAACACATAAATAAATACTCATAAAGAAACTTTTTAATTGTACACTAGATTTTGAACCCGCACATCCGTGCGGGTAATTTTTCATTTTATAAAAATATAACAAAATCTTTCAGATATATCATTTACATCTTACTTTTATATTGTATAACTATAGAATATTATTATTTTAATTATTTTATATAATATATTGTTGTCATTTTTTAAAAATATCAAATATATTTTTTTAGATAATGTATTTGTTGTGAATTACAAAAATATATGTCAACATTTTTTGTATAAAAATATTACATGTTTTAAAAAAATTAATATGTTTTAACAGTGAATAAAAGAAA